ACTGCTAGAGAAGTCCCTTTTTAAAAATTTATTTTTATTTTTTGGTATAAGCTCTCCTTTGCCTTAGGTAAATACCTAAGAATGGAAAGACTGGACCCTATGTTCATGCTATTTACCTTTTAAAGAAACTATAAAGTTGATTGTCCAAGTGACTGTGCCATATTGCATTCCCACATGCAATTTAGAGAGCTCAAGTTGTACCATATCCTAATCAACTCTTGGTATGGTCAACATTTTTATTTTGGCCATTCTAATAGGTATGCTTTATCACACTATGGTTTTCATTTGCATTTCTCTAAAGACTCATCATGTTGCTTGTTTTTTTAATATCTTAATTTGGAAAAAGAATATCATCTTTGGTAAAGTGTCTTCCAAACTTTGCCTCACTTTTTATTAGGTTATTTTCTTTCTTAATGTTGCATTTTAAGAGCTCTTTATGCATTCTATATATAAATCCTTTATCAGATATATGATTTGCAAATAATTTCTCTCCATTATGGTTTGTCTTTTCCTATCTTAGCAGTATCTTTCTTAATTTTGATAACATCAAATTAATGGATTTGTGTCTTTTATGGATTTTGCTTTTAGTATATTTATGAAATTTTTGCATTACCAAGGTCAAAAAATGTTCTTCTAAGTATTATTTAGAAGTTTTATAGTTTTGTGAAACACATTATGTTTAAAGTCCATTTTGAGTTAATTTTTGTATGTGGAAAAAAGCATGGGTTCAAGTTCATTTTGTGCAACTGTTTCAACAAAATTTGTTGAAAAGATTTACAGATTCTCCACTGAATTGTCTTTGCATCTTTGTTTAAAATCAATTGAATATATGTAAGTGGGCCTTTATTGGTACTTTCTATTCTAGTTCAGTGATCCTTGACATAAATATTATTCAGGCGTTTTTACTGAAGTTTTCCAATAAGTCTTAATGTTAGGTGATATGTCTTTCAAGTTTGTTCTTCTTTTTCCAAACTTGTTATTACTACTCTAGGTCTTTGATTTATATATCAGTTTTAGAATCATCTTTTCAATATCTAATAACAAAAAACCTGTTGAGATTTCGATAGAAATCACATGGAATTTATAGATCAATTTAGGGAGAATTGCCAACTTAGCTGTATTGAGCCTTCTAAGCCCTAAAAAAAGTAAAATTCTCCACTTATTCAGGTCTTCTTTAAAGCCTTTCAGCACTGATTTGAGTGTACAAATGTTGCATATCTTTAGTTGGATTTAGTCCTAATATTCCAAACTTTTGATGGTATTGTATTATAATTTCTTTATTTTTTGTGTATAGAAATACACTTGACATTTCTATAATAAACTGGCACACTACAAAAATGCTAAACCAAACTTCTTTGTTTTGAGTTATTTCTTTTTTTATTTATTTTTTAGATTCAGCAGATTTTTCTACTAAGAAGATCATGCAAATTCTAAATCCCTTCACTTCTCCGGTCTCCGGTCTCCACCTCCTCAACTCAGAAAGTTCACTAGTCTGTGCCCTTCTATTCTCTCCCTGTGTTGTTCCTGGAATATGTCTCTGCTTAGTAACATGGGGCAACAGAAAACTACCTTGTCTGTTTCACTTCTCTCAGAAAATACTGTCCTTTTTGCATAATATTTAAAGTCATCTTGAGAATTGTTGTTTCATATATTTTACCCAGTTTCTTAGCTGTTTGAAGGAAGATAAATCTGTCCCCTGTTATTCCAGTCTGGCCCGAAGCAGAAATATGTAAAGTGTGTCTCAATCTATACAAGTATCCACCTCTTGTCCTCACATTTTTTTTATTAAAATATGATTTACATACCATAAAATCCATTGTTTCAAAGTGTACAGTTGAATGATTTTTAGAATATTCACTTAATTGTTCAATAACCACCACTATCTAATTCCAGAACGTTTTATCAGCTCACAAAAGAAACCCTGCCAACCCTTAATCTACTTTCTGTCTCTATGGAGTTTTCTATACTGGCTACTTCATGTAGATAAAGTTATGCACTATGTGGCCTTTGCCTCTGACTTCTTTCAATAAGCAGAATATTTTCAAGGCTTATCAATGCTATAGGATGAATTGGTAACTTATTTTTATGGCTAAATAATGTTGTTATATGGATATACCACATTTTATTTATTCTTTGATCAATTGATGGATATTTGGGTGGTTTGGACTTTTTGTTTATTACAAGTAATGTTGCTGTTAACATTCATGTTCATATTTTTGGGTTGATATGAGTTTTCAGTTAGTTTGAATATATGCCTGGGAGGGTAACTGCTGAATCATATGTTTAATTTTTGATAAACTGCCAAAATATTTTACAAAGTGACCTTGTTTTCCCTCTGCATTGCAGCCTAAAATCTTCCTTCCCTCAGTAAGCTGGAGCCAAGTTTTTTAGCAAACAATAACACAAGGTTCACATGGCTATATACAGATGGCACTCCACAGTGTGCGTGGAAATAGGAGAAAAAAGAAAACAGTGGCACTAAATAAATTTCAGATTTTTGTAAAAAATGGAAAATCTTTGCCGTCACAAAGTAGAGCATACTCTGGCATTGCACTGCTTTACCTTGGTACTCAGGTGGAAAAAAGCAATGTGAACACTTAGGTGGTGAGTTTAGTTTGTAATAATATTCTTCTCTAGAGACAAAGAAACTAATAAAATGTCTTCTTTGTAAAGTACATGAGAGCTTTTCTGTGGTAAAATGATTCAATTGGGCCTATAGTTAGGAGAGTAGATTTTAAGTGTCCTCACCAATAAATAAATAGTAACTACCTGAGGTGATAGATATGTCATTTAGCTATATTATGGTAATCATTTCATATGTATACATCAAAAGATCATGTTGTACATCATAAATATATGAATCTTCCTCAACTTATCAACTTATGATGGGGTTACATACCAATAAACCCATCATAAATTGAAAATATCATATGGTGAAAATGCATTTAATGCACCTAACCTACCAAACATCATAACTTAGCCTAATTGACCTTAAACATGCTCAGAATACTTACATTAGCCTACAGTTGGGAAAAATCATCTAATACAAAGCCTATTTTATAATAAATTGGTAAATATCTCATGTAATTTATTGAATTCTGCACTCAAAGTGAAAACAGGATGGTTGTACGGATACAGAATGGTTGTAAGTATTGGTTGTCCACCCTTGTGATCACCTGGCTGATTGGGAGGTGCCACTGCTCAGCTGTGGCTCTGTGCCTACTGCATTTCATTAGTCGGGATATTCAAAATTTGAAGTACACTTTGCACTGAATGCATGTAACTTTTGCATCATTGTAAATTGGAAAAATTTTGAGTGGGACCATTCTAAGTCAGGGACTGTCTGTACAAAACTTTTATTTAACAATCATACCTTAATGAAACTGGATAAATAGGGGGATGGGCTTAGAACCTCTTGTTGCAAGAAATCAAGGCACTTTAAAAAATGCCTAGGTTAAGCCTTTGAAAAGGAAAAGAAAATCTCATTGGCTTAATTGTGATTAAAAAAACAATGATTATACTATTTTGTTGAAAGAAGTTGAGTAAATTAAAAGAATCATACACCATTGACATTGACAGTGAAACACCTTCAAATAGAAAAAGTGCTAAAAAATGGTGGTAAAACATATATAATTTTCCCAAAATTTAATCAATAATGCTATACATTGATCAGTGTATGTTTGTGAGTCTTATGTTGAAGTTAATCTAATTATAAACCATGGGTTAACTTTTCGTTTTACTCCAACATAATATCTGGAAGAACATATGTGTTTGTAGAATGTTAAATTGTTACAATATTCAGAAGGAAAATATTTGTTCTTGAAGAGGGAAAGGGATCCATGTTATATTGTTGAAATAGAATGTGAAATTCAGTAGATTCAAGGTAATTTCAGGGAATTCCCCTGGTTTGCAAAGAAATGGAAAATGCTGAAAATTTTTCAGAATTAAAAGGAATGAGCTAACACAAGAATAGAGTAAGAGTTTATTGAAGTAGAATTAAGATCTCAGTAAAGGTAGAAACTGCTTGTCCATTCCCTTAATAAGAAGTCCCCCTTTATGGTAATAGCATTGTAATGGGACAACCCATGTGCAATGGAAAAATGCATTCATTCTAGGGGCACTCATTTGGTTTGGATAGCCTCACATTCAGAAATGGTTCAAGGAGAAAATGGGAGAGGTTGTGACATTAAAATAAAATAAATAAATAAAAGGAAAAAATGCCTTGAGGAAAATATATTGAATTATTATAAAAAATAATTTAACATCACCAATACACTAAAAGGAATTTGGGGGTATTTTGTATATATCAGTCAGAATCTTTGCAAGTATAAATCATTTGATTGTGTGTCCACATTACAATCACTTGTTTGTACTTCATTATCTCCATCTTTTGCTTTGGAAAGAGTAGGAGCCTATGCCAAAAACACAGACTATTTTGCATTGGAAATCTCCAAATCTAACCATTATGGCATGAATTCTTTGAATGCAGACACCAATTTTGTACAATTGCTTATGGTATGCATAATGCTGCACAAGGCAATGTACTAAGTGTATTATTTTACACATAGGAAGTGTAAAATAATAATTTCTGAAGGATAAACAGATAAATTTTCAGGACATTTAAATTTTACATGCAGAACACTGAATTTCAAACTAACTCAATTAACATTAATATACATACTATCACATTTTATAATCAGAAAAATTAATTAAAATAATACAGTGTAGCTTGAATCAAAAATATATCTTCTTCCAAGTAACCATATCAATTTGAGCATAGAGTTTGCCAATGTCACATTCGAAGCACTTTAAAAATCAATTTTTCTCTTTTTTTTTTTTCCAAAATACAATATATAGAATTTTACATTGAAGGGGAAAAAAAATAGCTGACACATAGGGGAAAGAAATGATTGGCTTTCCCCACCCAATGTCTGTCTGGATGGGCAGAGAGAAGCATGACATTACTGGAGAGGTGATGACATCTAAAATGATGTATCAGAGTACTTGCTTTGGCAGCACATATACTAAATTTGGACCGATACAGAGAAGATTAGCATGGTCTCTGCACAGGATGACATGCAAATTCATGAAGCGTTCCATATTTTGAAAGCAGTTCAAAGAGGGAAGATTATAGCAATACAAGTCTACCTCAAGAAACAAGAAAAAATCTCAAATAAATAATCTAACTTTACACTAAAGGAACTAGAGAAAGAAAAACAAAAAAAACCCCAAAGTTATTAGAAGGAAAGAAATCATAAAAATCAGAGCAGAAATAAATGAAACAGAAACAAAGAAAACATAGCAAAGATCAATAAAACTAAAAGTTGTTTCTTTGAGAAGATAAACAAAATTGAGAAACCTTTACCCAGACTCATCGAAAAAAAAAAAAAAAAGAGAGGACTCAAATCAAAATTAGAAAAGAAAATGGAGAAGTTACAACAGACACCGCAGAAATACAAAGCATCCTAAGAGACTACTACAAGCAACTCTATGCCAATAAAATGGACAACCTGGAAGAAACAGAGAAATTTTTAGAAAGTTATAACCTTACAAGACTGAAACAGGAAGAGACAGAAAATATAAACAAACCAATCACAAGTAATGAAATTGAAACTGTGATTAAAAATCTTCCAACAAACAAAAGTCCAGGACCAGATGGTTTCACAGGTGAATTCTATCAAGTATTTGGGGAAGAACTAACACCAATCCTTCTCAAACTCTTCAGAAAATTGTAGAGGAAGGAACACTCCCAAACTCATTCTATGAGGCCACAATCACCCTGATACCAAAACCAGACAAAGATACTACAGAAAAAGAAAATTACAGACCAATATCAGTGATGAATATAGATGCAAAAATCTTCAACAAAATACTAGCAAACATAATCCAACAACATGGTAAAAGGATCATACACCATGATCAAGTGGGGTTTATCCCAGGGATGCAAGGATTCTTCAATATATGTAAATCAATCAATGTGATACACCATATTAACAAATTGAAGGATAAAAGCCATATGATCATCTCAACAGATGCAGAAAAAGCTTCTGACAAATTTCAACACCCATTTATGATAAAAACTCTTCAGAAAGTGGGCACAGAGGGAACCTACCTCAACATAATAAAGGCCATATATGACAAACCCACAGCAAACATCATTCTTAATGGTGAAAAACTGAAAGTATTTCCTCTAAGATCAGGAACAAGACAAGGATGTCCATTCTCACCACTATTATTCAACATTGTTTTGGAAGTCCTAGCCAAGGCAATCAGAGAAGAAAAAGAAGTAAAAGGAATACAATTTGGAAAAGAAGAAATAAAATTGTCACTGTTTGCAGATGACATGACACTATACATAGAGAATCCTAAAGATGCCACCAGAAAACTATCAGAGCTAATCAATGAATTTGGTAAAGTTGCAGGATACAAAATTAATGTACAGAAATCTCTTGCATTCCTATACACTAATGATGAAAAATCTGAAAGAGAAATTAAGTAATCACTCCCATTTACCATTGCAACAAAAAGAATAAAATACCTAGGAATAAACCTACCTAAGGAGACAAAAGACCTGTATGCAGAAAACTATAAGACAATGATGAAAGAAATTAAAGATGATAAAAACAGGTGGAGAGATATACCATGTTCCTGGATTGGAAGAATCAGTATTGTGAAAATTACTAAACTATCCAAAACAATCTACAGATTCAATGCAATCCTTGTTCAAATTACCAATGGCATTATTTTACAGAACTAGAACAAAAAAAAATCTTAAAATTTGCATGGAGACACAAAAGACCCTGAATAGCCAAAGCCATGTTGATGAAAAAAAACGGAGCTGGAGGAATCCGACTCCCTGACTTCAGAGTACACTACAAAGTTACAGTAATCAAGACAGTATGGTACTGGCACAAAAACAGAAATATTGATCAATGGAACAGGATAGAAAGTCCAGACGTAAACCCATGCACCTGTGGTCAACTAATCTATGACAAAGGAGGCAAGGATATACAATGGAGAAAAGACAGTGTCTTCAGTAAGTGGTGCTGGGAAAACTGGACAGCTACATGTAAAAGAATGAAATTTGAACACTCCCTAACACCATACACAAAAAATAAACTCCAAATGGATTAGAGACCTAAATGTAAGACTGGACACTGTAAAACTCTTAGGGGAAAACATAGGAAGAACACTGTTTGACATAAATCACAGCAAGATCTTTTTTGATCCACCTCCTAGAGTAATGGAAATAAAAAGAAAAATAAACAAACGGGACCTAATGAAACTTAAAAGCATTTGCAAAGCAAAGGAAAATACAAACAAGACAGAAAGACCACCCTCAGAATGCGAGAAAATATTTGCAAATGAATCAACGGACAAAGGATTAATCTCCAAAATATATAAACAGCTCTTGCAGCTCAATATTAAAAAAAACAATAACCCAATCCAAAAATGGGCAGAAGAGCTAAATAGATATTTCTCCAAAGAATACATACAGAAGGCCACGAAGTACCTGAAAAGCTGCTCAACATCAGTAATTATTAGAGAAATGCAAATCAAAACTACAATGAGATATCACCTCACACCAGTCAGAATGGGCATCATCAGAAAATCTACAAACAATAAATGCTGGAGAGGGTGTGGAGAAAAGGGAACCCTCTTGCACTGTTGGTGGGAATGTAAATTGATACAGCCACTATGGAGAACAGTATGGAGGTTCCTTAATAAACTAAAAATAGAATTACCATATGATCCAGCAATCCCACTACTGGGCATATACCCTGAGAAAACCATAATTCAAAAAGACACATGCACCCCAATGTTCATTGCAGTACTATTTACAATAGCCAGGTCATGGAAACAACCTAAATGCCCATCAGCAGACAAATGGCTAAAGAAGATATGGTACATATATACAATAGAATATTTCTCAGCCATAAAAAGGAAAAAATTTGGTCATTTGTTGAGACGTGGATGGATCTAGAGACTGTCATACACAATGAAGTAAGTCAGAAATAGAAAAACACATGTCGTATATTAATGCATATATGTGGAACCTAGAAAAATGGGACAGATGAACAGGTTTGCAGTGCAGAAATAGAGACACAGATGTAGAGAACAAACGTATGGACACCAAGTGGGGAAAGCGGTGGGGGTGGGTGGTGGTGGTGTGATGAATTGGGAGATTGGAATTGACTTATATACACTAATATGTATGAAATGGATAACTAATAAGAATCTGCTTTATAAAAAATAAAATAAAATTCAAAAATTCAAAAATAAAAGAAAATGATGTGTTACAGTGTTAAAACAAATGAGAAATGAATATGTGATTCAATATTCTTCTAAATGCATGCAATAAAATGTTTTATTTTAATACATTTCATTGCTTCTATAATTCATTTATTGTTTCTTTTTCATTTTTTCTTTCTTTTTCTTTTTTAGTATCACCACTTTGTGCTCTCTATATTAAATCATAACCATAGCAATACCTTAGAGATATCTCACAGATGGATAGGAAATTGCTAACAATGCAAGGCAACTTAAAAAGGAAATAACAGGATAGGCCATTACCATGACTGTCACAGTCTATGTTGCCCAGGGCTTTGTCCTGCCATCTCAAGAAACTTCTGCTTATAGGAGCAGAGCTCTCAGGGAAGGCCGTGGTATCAATCTTCTCATTTTACTTTAATGCTACTGTCCCATAACTTCTGCTTTATAAAACATATTTTAGGGTTGACTCAGCTATGTTTATAATATTAGCAGATGTGAAGGTAAATATGTAGACTCGGAAATTAGCTCTACAAATTGTTTGAGAAACAAGAAAGAATTAAGGTTTCAGATAATGGCAGTTTTTCATAATAAATTTACATTCTGTGATAAAAGTGTAGTCTAAAGAACCAAGGAGAAAATAACTCCATTAGACAGGTTCATTTTGAATAGGGATTCCACATAATTATAGTAGAATATATAACCTCATTTGAGTATAACTGATTACAAGTACTCACGCTGATGGGAATCAGGAATATTGTGTTAATCATGGTAATGCTTTTCTAACTCACTGATGGTTACTCACTTATCTATCAGGAACAGTCTTTAGATCTGCTACTCACTTTCCTTTTATCTTTTTTTTAATGGAAGTATAATTGACTTACAATATTATACCAGTTTCAGGTGTACAACACAGAGATTTGATATTTTTGTATATTACAAAATGACCACAACAATGTCTAGTTATCATTTGTCACCCAAGGATATTAACATATTATTGAATATATTCTCTATGCAGTACATTAAATCTCTGTGACTTATTTCCTTCATAACTGAAATAATCTCCCTCTCCTAGTTCAGTCATCTACCCATTCTCCTCTCCTCTGGCAACCACCTGTTTGTCTGCTGCATCTAAGAGTCTGCTTCAATTTTGTTATGTTTGTTCATTTGTTTTGGTTTTTAGATTCCACATATAAGTCAAATCATATGGTAATTATTTTTCTCTATATGACTTATTTCACTTAGTGTAATATCCTCTAGGCCAAGACATGTTGTTGCAAATGGAAAGATTTCATTTCTCATAGCTCAATAATGTTCCATTGTGTGTGCCTCTGTGTGTGTGTAATATATATGTGTGTGTGTACATATATACATATATAAATATATCACATATATATGTATTTGTAGATATGTGTGTGTTTATATGTATGTATGTATGTGTGTATATATATATATATATGTTATGTAAATGTATATACACATCACATCTTCTTTAGCCATTCATCTGTTGGTGGACACTTAGGATGCTTCCATATCTTGGCTATTGTAAATAATGCTGCAATGAACCTATATAGATAGGGGTGCAAATGTCTTTTCAAGTTACTATTTTTGTTTTCTTTGGGGAAAATCCTAGAAGTGGAATTGTTGAATCATATCGTTGTCCTATTTTTAAATATTTGAGGAGTCTCCATACTATTTTCCATTGTGCCTGCCCCAGTTTACATTCTCACCAAATATGCACAAATGTCCCCTTTTCTCCACATCCTTGCCAACACTTCTTTGTTGTCTTTGTGATAATAGTCATTCTGACAGATATGAGGTGATATCTCACTGTG